GAAGAAGAAGAAGAAGAAGAAGAAGAAGAAGAAGAAGAAGAAGAAGAAGAAGAAGAAGAAGAAGAAGAAGAAGAAGAAGAAGAAGAAGAAATCATGGTTATTATTTATTATCATTGTTGTTATTATTATTACATCACAGACGCTGGTGATCGTCAAGCATTAGGCTGGCTGAGTCTTACTGGGTGCTATACAGTGCATCTTTCCAGACAGGTGTACACAGGTGCAAAAATATCGTTTACTCCATAATGAATCGAACTCACATCGACTGCGAACAAGGCGGCCTGCACTGGTTGGAAGAGTAGATCTTGGAATTCGAGGAAGAATTCTTTGTTCGTAAATTTATTTTTCTTATTAGGTTGTTGGCGAAAGATACAGCTCACACGGAAGGTAAGCTGCTCTGATCTGATGAAAGCAGTGGCTGATTCAAATGTGCGATACGATGGATCATCGCAGATGAACTTTAATGAAAGACCTCACCGATGAATAAAAGCAATTCCGCCACCACGTGAGCCGCGTGAAAAAGATTTAAGGGAGGGAAGGGGGGGGTACGGGACTACACCCCCAAAGTCCCGATTCGGCTTAAAATTATATAATTTGTGTTTTTAGCTTCCTCAGTCTCTCCAACAACTATTTCCTTGTACAAGAACCCCCCAAAACCGTATTTTTCCCATACCGGGCATGTTTGTCACCACCATTTCCTCATTAAGTCATTATTTTATTTTTCTTATTTGGTAAAATTTGGTCCAGTAATAAGCGAGATAGCCCCCCTCCCCCTCCCCTTAAGTTAAAAGCCAGGTGGTTGAATGTCGGCTATGATAGATTCATCGAAATCTTTTCAAAGCCAAGTTTCTGAGATGCACAACAGATCGATCGATGTTCATAATTTCTTCAATTACGTCTCTTACAATGTAGCAGCACGACTGGGTGTTAATACAGCCAATTCTTAAGTTGGGACAGTTATGTTGAAACACAGTACGAATGTCTATCTGTCTTACGTTTTTCTTGTTCACAGTAGTCACAGTTTTATTCTTAGAAACAGTGTCACGAGGAATCCCCCGACACACCTAATTTTTCTCTGTTTCCTCGTCCCACCTCTTGGACCCCTCTTGTCTCTCTTCACTACCGTTGATTGACAAAAACAGCTGTTTCTAACTCCTAACTGGGTCAATGTAGTTAGCACGTTTGATGGTATATATATATATATA